GCAGGTGAACATGCAGGTGGGGTGGGCTTGGCAGACCTACCAATGGACTTTGGAGATGTGAGGACAGGCTTGGGCTGGGCCCCGGGCCTTCCGCAAGGTGTCAAGCAGACCTCGAGTAGTTAGTTTCCTGTCACACTAGTCACAGCCTTAGCTTGCAGGTGAGGAATGGAGGCCTAGCAGCAGACCTCTCCTCACTGTGGGAACCCATCTCCGCCCTCCCTGGCGGCCCCTGGACATGCCCAGCCCACAGGACCCTGGACTTCAGCCTGGCGGCCTATCCTTCTCTTCCTTCCCTCCCAGCCTTTCTCCCACCAGCCCATGTCCCCTCCAGTCCCGGCTGTGAACCCTCATCAGACCACCAGTGAATGTGGCAGGTTGGGGAGGGGACCCAGTGTCACTGGGGTGGGGGAAGACACAGCTGCAGGTGTCAGGAAGGGGGGGGAGGGGGAAGGTCTCAGTGCGGTGGGGCCCCCAACAGTAGGTGGAGCCGGCAGCCTTGGGGTCGCCCGGGCCCTGTCACTTCACGGCCGTGCTTCCTCCTAACAAGCCCGCAGGATGGGGCTGTGTCTACAGTTCCTGGGGATGGGGGCCCCTGAAGCGGGGTGAGGGGGCCTTGAGAGGGGATGGGACCTGAGGGGGCTGGGGCCCTGAGTGGGGGTGCGGAGCCACCTTGAGGGGGATGGCTTTGTGCGATGACCCCCGCATCTGGCCCCTCCCCCCTTGGTGGATCTAGGGGAGCAGCAGTTTCAGGGGTGGTGGGCCTCTGCCCCTGGGAGAGTCCAGGGTGGGAGGTGCTGCCTTGGATTCAGTGGAGGGCATCAGGATGGAATCCATGGAAAAGGCAGCATCGTTGGGGTGCAGGGAGCAATGAGGTGGTGGCAGCGATGGTGACGCTGGGGGTAGTGGTGGCTCCGCCCCTCCCAGGGGAGTAGGCTTCACAGTGAAGGGTGATGGTGGATGTCAGGGCCTTGACGACAGTGGGAGGGTGTCTGTGGAGCCCCAAAATTATCCCCGGAGGCCGTGGTGGGTCTTCACTCTCTCCTCGTGCTGGGGCATGGGGGCCACCGTGGGCAGTGAGGGACGCCCACTCCTCTCTGGAGCGGCTCCTCGACCCACAGTTGCCCAGGCCTCCAGCCCCGCCTGGCAGCCAGACGGGGGCCCTGCACAGGCTGCGCGTGTCCCGCAGGGCTGCTGCAGCAAAGACCACAGCCCGGGGCTGGGACAGCAGGCGCTCGCTCTCTCGCAGCCCTGAGGGCAGTGTCAGGAATCCCGTTCTCTCCAGCCTGCAGGGCCGACTCTGGAATCCCCGTGGGGACGGGGCCAGGCTGCTCAGAGGGCCCCCTGGAGCGTCCTCTCTGGCCTGCCCCACCTTCTAGTGGCTGCTGGCCGTCCCTGGGGCCCTGGGCTCACGGGGGCATCACTTCCATCTCGACCTCTGCCGTCCCACCTGTGCGCCTTGTGTCTTGTCGTAGACTCCACTAGTCCTTGGGCTGAGGGCTCCCTGAACCCAGGACGACGCTGCGGGAGGGCCTTCTCGTCAGTGCAAGCAGGTCGAGGTCTGAGGTGCTGGAGGCCTTCAGGGCCAGTGCAGGTTCAGGGGCCAGTTCAGACAGCAAACGCCCTTCCCTTCGGAGACCACCTGGAGCTGAGTCTCTCAGGCCCCTAACTGAAGCCCCACCTCCAGGGTCTTGGCTTAGGGCCCGGCCCCCTCCCAACCCAGCTCCCTGCTCTCTGCTCCGCCTGCACTCCATCCCTGGGGACCGGGTCCCATGGGGTCTGCTGCTCCTCCCGCTGACTGCCTCCCACACACCTGTGTCTGGGTCCCCAGGACCTGAGATCACCCTAGCTCTTCTGCTAAGAGAAGCTGGGGGGCTGGGGTGTCCTAGCCCTCAGACCTATGCTGCTAGCTTTTCCAGTGCCCACTGCCCGCTCCTCTGGCCCCGAGTCCTGGGGTGGCCGTGCCCCGTGGGGGCCGCGGGTGGAAGGCTCCGGGCCCCATATACCCAGGGCTGCAGCTGGGGTGCAGCTTTGATCCTGCCCTGTTTTGGTGACTCCTCAGCGGCCCTCACCTCTGGTGGAATCAAGGTTAGGCTCAGGATGGGGGATGGCTGAGCGTCTGGGGGGGGCCCCGTCAAACTGGGAAGGGTCTGCAAGCTCGGGGCCTGAAGCTGTGGCCCGAGAGGGAGGCGGGAAGGGCGGGGACCGAGGGGCGCTTGGGGGACGGGGCGGGGCGGCCGGCGCCCACTCCCGGCGCTCCTTCTCCGTTTCCAGCCCGCCGGCTTGCTGCTGACCCAGCAGAACAGGTTTGCCTTTTCCCCTCTCGGCAATTTCTGTTGGCGAAGCAGAAAGGAGCGCAGCGCGTTCCGCCGACCTCCCGCCCCGGCGGCCGCTCTGGAGCAGGAGAGCTCCCGCGTGGGCCGGCGCCTCCCGGGCGCGCGCTCAGTGCAGTGGCAGCCCTACTGGCGCCCGGGCCGCGCACCCACAGGGCATGCTGCGTCCGCAGGGACGCGCGCGCTCCCCGGGCCGCCGCGTTGGCACCGGACCGGGACTGGGACCGAGCGGGGCGCGTTCCTCCCTGGCAGGCAGTTGAGTACATCACAGAAATCTAGAAGCACCCATGGCCGTGAGTGATACGGTGTGGCCTTTCCCATGGCCGCTGAGCGGTGGTGCCCACGGCCACCTGGAAGGAGGGCAGAAGGCAGTGACAGGAGCGGTGGCCAGGAAAGGCTGGGTTGGGGGGTGGTACACACTAACTGGGTCTGCAAGGTCACCATGGTCCCGCACGGAAGTGGGGAGGGGAGAGGGCCAGCCAAGGCTTGGAGCTGAGAGCCGGCAGGAGGAGACGGTGGGGGACACGGAGAGGCCCACTCTCACACACGTGCACACACGTGCTCCCACGTGGACGCCCCAGGCACACAGCTGCTCAGGCAGCATTGGCCACACGGGAAAGGCCTCGGGCCCCCAGCTGCCATGGGGTCCCCAAGGTCAACTCTGAGGCAGCCCAGGTTGGACAGCCGTGCCTCCAGAGCGCAGCCCAGTCCAGGCCTCCTGCTGGGTCCCACCTGGGCCCCACAAGGCTCGCCCACTGGTGTTGGCACCTCAGGTTCTGCCCTCTGACCCAACTCCTAGCCCCCAGGTCATGGGGCTGGGCTCCTGCCCTGACTGCTCCCCAGCAGTGGCAACACCAGCACTGAGGATTCAGCCTCCTGGCAGGGACTTGAGAGGTGCCAGGGAGCTGGACAGAGCTTCCATCCTGTGCCTCAGGGAGCCTGGTGGGCCCTTCCAGTCTGTCTCTTGTGGGGGGAGGTGGCCCAGTGGCAGGTGGCCAGCAGAGGGCAGCTCCCACACCCCCGCTGGAGTCCTGCATTTCCTGGACAGGCCCTGTCATCCCCGATTAGCGTGTAATGGCCTCTCTGACGCACAGTTTTATTAATCAAATTAATAAGTGCCAGGGAGACCTGGGTGACCTTGGCCAGTTCTGCTGAGATGGGGATTTTCTGGGCAGGGAGGGGTGCACCTGCCTCCCCCAGATCCCTGCTTCCTGCTGCCTCTGAAGACGCACAGCCAGCAGTGCCAGGTCAGGACAGTGAGCGCATGTACACGCGCACACACACGGGGCACACTCACAGATATGCCCCAACACATACACACACAAGGCACACTCATGCAGACCTGCCCAACACACACATGTGCACACACAAAGCAGTCACAAAGACATGCCCCAGCACACACACGTGTGCACATGAACACACATGCAGCCACACACGGGCAACACTCATGCGGACCTGCCCCAACGCACACACGGGCACATACATTCACACAAGTTCACACATGGGCACACCCATGCAGTCACCTCCACGTTCACACCACACTCACATACACACACGCAGACGCGGACACACTCATGCACTCACTCCTCCCTCCAAACTAGAGCATTTGGGCTGAAGCGAGAGGGAGGGGTCTGGTCGCTGGACAGGGTGGGACGGGGTTGCCTGGAGCGAGAGGCAGGTCTCTGACCCATGGGGCTTCTGCTCTTGCCCACCTCTCCCCTCCCCTTCCCCAAACCCAGCGGACCCTGAGAGCTGCTCCTACATCCACTTGAGCAGGCAGCGGCTGCCCCCTGGTGGCCACAGGGGACAGGCATCTCACTCCAACTTTTTTCTTGCCCACCTGGTCTTTTAGGGATTCCTCCGCTGAGGCCTGCTGGCCAGAGTTCCCCCTTCCAACATGGCTTCCCCAGGTCAGCCCAGCCCTGCCCACCACCCACAGGCCTTTCTCACTTGTGGCCTCCCGGTGGCCTGTCCACTGTCCCCGTTTTCCACTTGAGGACCCTAAGGGCTTCATGGCTTGAGGAGCCAGTCCCATGGGCCAGGGGCAGGCTGGGGGCCCAGCTAGCCTCCAAACAGCAGCCAGAGCTAGCCTCTCACACCTCCCAGCTCCCACATCAGGTGTGCATGGGCTGTGGGGGGGCAGAGAGCAGGGTGAGAGGCAGGGAGGGGCTGGCAGGGCAGGAAGGGTGGCTATAGGGTGGCCTATCCGGCCCCGGGGGGCAGGCGGGGTTGGCAGTGGAGAGAGGGCCTGGGAAGCCTCAGTGGGGCAGCCCAGAGCTTGGCTCTCAGCAGGGTTGAGCTCAGGGCCCGGGGTCGAACAGCGCAGCCAGGCACTGAGGGAGGCTGCAGACAGGTGAAGGGGCGGTGCGGTCAGCCCGGCTGAGGGAGTCCACAGGACCACGGGTCCACGCTGCAGGGGCCCACTGCTTCGCGTCCCGCCCAGCCTCCCAGGAGGCCCTCCACCCGCACCCAGCCGGCTGCCTCTTCTGGACCGCCTCTAGGATGTCCAGGCAGTGGGGCACACTGCTTCAGTGTGTGGGTGTGGTGCCCGTCCCCAAGACTGATCGGACACACTTGCTTCTGAAGACAGTCTTTAATGAGGCAGAAATCCTCCCTGAAGGCCTGGGGGCTGGGTGAGGCCGGCATCGGCCCCAGGGAGGGACCAGCCCCTCACGGCCAGCCCGGGCACTCAGAGGGTGAGGGTGGTCCACCAGCATCAGGGGCCAGCGTAGTGGTCTCTGAGGGGGGCTGGGGACGGCCTTCGGCCCTGCCCCCCTTGGCTTTGCGGCTCCAGCCCAGGAGGGGCCTGGGGCTGGCCCGGTTGGGTGCTGGCAACTCGCGACCATATTCCTTCTGGCTCCTCAGGAGGCCCCCTGGGCTCAGCAGGGCTGGCCGGCGGTCCCCCTGCACCTGGACAGACACACAGAGCCACCGAAGGACAGGTGCTAGGAGACGTGGCATGGAAGGGTGGTGAGAGCTCTGGGGCAGGGTGCCCAGGACCCCCAAGGAGCGCCTGCTGGTGGACGAGGAGTCCTCGAGGGCAAGGTGGGGACCACCAGAGACCGCAGCAGGCACAGAGGGCACTGCCTGGGAGGTACCTGGGCAGAGGCGGCGGGGCTGGGCCTGCGTGTGGGGGCGTGTCCGGTGGGCGTGTTGGCTGGGAAGGGGCGTGTCCGGCTGGGCGGGACTTGCGTGCGGGGTTGTGTCAGGAAGATGGGGGCGTGTCTGGAGGGGGCGGGGCCTGCAGGCGGGGGCGGGGCCTCACCGTGCAGGGCTGCTCCAGGGAGGACAGCGTCACCACACCCAAGTCCACGCCCTCCTCGCCTGCGCTCCGCAGCTGCGCCACCACCTCCGCGTGCTTCCACCACTTGCATGGCCGCCCGTTCACCGACACGATGTAGTCACCCTCCTTGAGGCCGGCCGCCTGCGGGGACGCAAGTGAGCAGGAGCAGCTCCAGCCTCCGGGAAGGGGCCTTGGGTGGGCAGCCCCTTACCGCGGCCCGGCCCCCCGGGATGACGGCGGCGATGAGCACCGGCGAGTCTCCCCTCAGGGTGAAGCCGAAGCCCTCCTCTCCTCGGGCCACGTGCACCGGCCCCACCAGCCGCCACCGGTTCTTGGCTGAGAACAGGGACAGTGGCCCCTGGAGTGGGGTGGGGTCAGAGGTCAGAGCTCCCGGACCGACTAGCACCCCCACCTGGCCCTGCACACGCGAGGACAGGCATGAAGGGGCTGAGAGGCGGGCCAGGTGCTCACCAGTCTGTGGAAGATGTCTACTGCCTTCACCTGGGAGAAGTTGGGGGTCCTGGCCTCTGGCTTCTGATGGGTTTTAGCTGAAATGGGGGGGGGCAGGAGGGACGCTCTGAGGACCTTGGTCCCCAGCCAGGACATCGGTGCAGCCAGAGCAGCCCTTTCACGGGCCCTGGAGCCAGAGGTGCTGTGGGCCTTGGGCTAAGGTGGGCCATCTGCCCAGCTGGCTGGCTCCAGGTGGTTTCACTGGGGAGCACCCCGGAGCCCGGCTGGCAGTGGGGGACCCTGGAACGCAGCTGCTGCAGGCTTTGCTGGGGGCAGGGGCTGGTGTCACCCCTTTGGCCAGTGTGATGGCCCTGCCTTTCCCAAGCTTCCGGGACCCGCCACTGGTGCCGGGCCTCTCGGGCGCCCAGAGATCAAGTTAACTGTGGGCAGCATCTCTGGGAGGCTTGGAACACGCTTCCCGGGAGCACGGGGCCGTGCTTCCGACAGCAGCCACAGGGCATCCCGCGCCCACCCTCCTCCAGGGCCCGATGCTCACGCAGGATGTCGGGGGCCTCGGCAGCCTCGAAGAAGTCGTCCTCGCGGTCCAGCTCTGAGTACTTGGCCAGCGAGCGCCGCAGCGCCTGGCCCACCACAGCCTGTAGCAGGTCCACTTGTCGGGGCACTCGGCACCCGGCGTGCAGCCTCAGTGCCTCCTCCTGCCCCAGGATGGCGCGTCTCAGGTGGGCCTTGCCTACAGTGGGCAGAGGCCGTCACACAGTGTGGGGACGGCCCCACCTCGGGACAGGCCGGCTGGAGGGAACGGAGGGTCCCGGAACCCTGCCTCCCAGGTGTGACAAACCCCTCGGGTCCCCTCACCAGGTCATGGGGGGTGTTGGGGGTCTCCTCCCTTCCCCACAGGGCTCACCACGCTTCCTCCTGCCCTCTGGGTCCTGTGGCAGCTCAGAGGCCCAGGACAGCCCACAGACCTGCTCGTACCCGGGGAGCGTTCCCTCAGTGGGTGCTGGGGGCAGAGAGGGGGTGAGGCTGGCTCTGAGCACCTGCCACCTGCCACCTGCACAGGCCCCCAGGGCCGACAACTCACTTGGGCTGTCGCAGAGGGCCACAGCTGTGTGGAAGTGGGCCAGGGCACGGAAGTACTCAGCCTTGGCCTGCACCAGGGTGGCCCAGGAGTGCGGCACGCAGTCACAGGCAGGCGGCTGCTCCAGGGCCCGGTGCACAAGGTCATACTCGGCTGCCACCTGCCGGCAGACACAGGGAGATGCCAGGGGCCCAGGCAGGGCTTGACCTCCATCCACCCTCTCCTGTGCTGAGGGGGCTTTGGGGTCCCTAGTCCCTGCTCTGGCTGATGCTGCCCTGCCCCAGCAGACGGGTAGAGGTCACTAGACTGATGGCAGTAGGAAGGCTATGCATAAGTGTGGCCGTGGGACATGTGGTTTTGGGGCTAGTACCTCAGAGGGGCTGCAGGACAGCCACTCTGGGAATCCAACACGCACAGGCACGTGGCCACCTCACCCTGCCCGGCCCAGGCCTCCCTGCGGCACCAACCACGCCCAGCCCCTGCTGCCCCTGGGGGCCAGGAGCCTGGGGGGGGCTCCGGCAGGGCACTGGGGACTGCCTGTGCTCACCTGGGCGGCCTCCTGGGCCAGGTGCAGCTGGGTCGGGCTGTCGTGGGGAGCGCCGGGAGCGGCCAGGGAGAGGCCCTCGAAGACACACTCCTGAGCCTGTGCGGTCATGAGCCGCTCAAACACATGGAGCGTGGCGGGGCTCATGTCGGGGCTCGGTGCGCGGGAGAAGTTCTCCCTGAGGAAGCCGAAGGCCCCTGCAGAGGGGAGGACTCACCCCAGGCCGTGCCCCGCCCCCTCCTTCCCACCCCGACGCTGGGGGTCCCCCTGTCCACCCCTTGGGGTATGGGAGTCCTCCTGACCCTCACCTGTGTCCCGCCCTGGGGGTCCCCACCTGGACCTCACCTGCGGCCTGCTGGAAGGCCTTGATGGCGTGGCCGGTGCCCTCGGCGCACGAACGGTCCTGGCGGGCCCCGATCTGGGTGTAGAGGGCACCCATGTTGAAAAGTACGCTGCCTTTCTCGAAGGCCAGGGTCCGCTGCTGGGCCGGGACCCCTGTGAGGGAGTCGTACCTGCAGGGCGGGGTCAGCCAGTCCTGCGGTGCTGGGAGGTGGGGGGGGGAGGGAACCGCTTGGGGGCCCGGCGCCTAGCCCCCTACCAGTGGAAGAGCACGCCCAGGCTCCTGGCGGGCGCGGAGAAGCGGGCATCCAGGAAGCAGAGCTGGTTGTGGTAGGCCATGAGCAGTTCCAGGCCCGCCTGGTCGCGGCTGGGCATCCGAATGGCCTGCAGGGAGCAGCCCGACCGGGCCTCACTGCCCAGCCCCCCAGGACTCAGGAGCCCATGCAGCACATGGGGACGGGTGGAGAGCTTGGGTTCCCTTGAGGTCAGTCCCCAGTGGAGACCACACCCCGTCACGGACCATCTCCCCTCCCCTCGCCACGTGACTCAGCTGCACTACATGGGCCACTTTCTGTCCCCTGGGCCACACCTGCCATCCCAGCAGCAAGGTGAAGCCAGCAGGGCTCCTGGGAGGAACTCTCCTTGGGGTCGTGCAGACCCCATGAGCCCTCGTGCCTGCCACCCTGTGCACCGAGGGCGTGTGTGCACTTGGGGGCTCGGTGGACAGCTACACTGAGCCCCTGGCTGGTCCCTAACTTGAGCCTGTTTCCTCATCTGTGAGCTGGGTGGGCCGCAGGAGGCCTTGTGGGGGTGACAGGGACCTGGGGGGGGGCATTGGGGGCAGGGAGGGGCCCACACACCTGCCTCAGGTCGTCCAGCTGCTTGAGTTCGTCCTCGTAGGAGGCACCATCCTCACCAAAGTGCTCTGTTATCAGCTCCTGAGGGCACAGTGACGGGGTGTGGCAGGTGGCCTTGCCGGGTCTCCACAGCGAGGGCCAGCAGAAGGCTGGAGGGCACCTGGGCCGGGTGCTGAGCTGGGGCCCCTCCCGGCCCTGGGGCTCCTCGCAGACAAGGCCAGCCCCTCCCCACCAGCTGTGGGCCCAGACAGTTAGCAGCACGATGACCAGGCTCAGCACCTGTCCCAAGCAGGGCACCACCCACTGCACCCTGCCAGGCAGACCGCCTCTGCCTCCAGGGGGACCACCAGGGGGACCAGCGTGGCCTGCAGCGTAGAGGCTGGGGGCTTGGCACTGGGCCCGAGCTCTGCTCCGGTCCCGGGTGAGACCAGGCCAGCCGCTTCCTCTCTGTGGGCCTTGGCTTCCCCCTCCAGCAGGGCTGGACCCTCTGGCCCCTCAGAGGGGACTCAGCAGAAATTACCTTCAGGGGCGTGGCCCAGTTGAGCTCCCTGGTCTCCTTCAGGCCCAGGGGGATCATGGGGATGCTGACGTTGTCCCTGGAACCACAGCGTCTGCTCAACTCCAGGGCTGGACCCCTGCCACCCCAAGGACCAGGTGCCATCCACCATTCATGCTGCACTGATGCGCGTCCCTTTCCGTCTCTCCATGTGTTCAGAATGCACGCACGTACGCACACACACACACGCACACTCACACACTGGTGGTTAAGGTTTATGTGTAACTTGGGGAGGCCAAGCTTCTCAGTGGTTTGGCAGATACGATGGAATCATTCTCCATTCTGTGATCTGATGTGAGCAGCCAATCAGCTAAAAGGGGAATATCCTTGGGGGTGTGGCCTGTATCCTGTGTACATGGCCTGGCAAAGCCCTCTCTTGACCCCATGTCCATCCTCTGACCTCTGGTTCTGGGCACGTGCACTATAGCCTGCCAGCTGACCTGCCAATTGTGGGTTCCTCAGCCCCTGCAATCACGGGGTCAGAAGAGGCCTCCAGTCTAGTGCCTGCCCCGTGGGATGGGGACTTGCTGGTCCCCACAGCTGTGTGAGCTATTTCCTTGAGCTCAACCCCTCTGTATATTTATATGTATGCAGAACTGGTTTTGTTCCTCTAGAGAATCCAGCCTGAGACACGCACAGGACGTGTCCACGTTCACATACACAGTACACTGTCCATCGTGCCAGGGTGCGTCCACACACACGGTCACACGCTCCCCTCTGTGCCAGGGTGCATGCATACTCACACACACGTTCACCCACGCCTTGTGCTGGTGTGCCCACACCCATGAGGCATGCACCCCCGTGCTTGGATACACGCATGCACATACACACACTCACACTCACCCCCTCGTGCTGGGCGTGCCACACCCACGCACACGCTCACCCACTCCTCATGCCAGGGTGTGTCCACGCACACGCTCACGTGCTCCCTTCTGTGCCGGGGTGCGTCCACGCTCACACGCGTCCACGCTCACCCACTCCTCGCGCCGGGGTGCTCACACGCGCACACGCTCACCCACCCCTGGCCCCGGGGTGCGTCCACGCTCACACGCGCACACGCTCACCCACCCCTGGCCCCGGGGCGCGCCCACGCTGCTGTCCAGCTCCTCCAGCTCCTCCTTCAGCAGCTGCAGGCTGGCGTTGACGTAGCTCAGCTCCAGGGCCACTGTCTCCCGGACCCGACTGTTGCTGGTGGCTCTGAGAGACCGGGTGAGGTCAGAGCCCTGTCCCGAAGGCAGACGCGTGTCCAGCCCCCTGCAGCGCCCCACAGCCTCCTGCAGCGCCAGCCCAATATGATGGGGTGGTCCAAGGACCCAGGGCACCCAGGAGAGGCACAAGATGGTCCTCGACTGGTTTGGGGGACCCCCAACCTCCTTCCCAGTCCTTGTGGCCCAACCCTGCCACAGACAGGTCCCACTCTGCCCTAGGGGCATCTCTTCCACCACCTACACTCCCAGCGCCAGACACAGGCCTGCCCGTGGCACTCTAGACAGCCTCCCCTGGAGGGGCGGCGGAGTCTGAGGCCTCAGGGCCCAGGTCTGGGAGACCACAAAGGCCGGGCTGGGCAGAGAGGTGGTGGCGCTGGAGCACAGGGACCCCTGGGACTCAAGCAGAGCCCCCACACGGCCCACAGCCCCCTCAAGCCTCAGCCTCCATTGCAGAGAGGGGTACACATGTGGGGCCCCCACAGAGATGTGGCCACAAGTCCAGTGATGCCTCGGATGAGACACATACCTGAACCCAGAAGAGAGAGGGCGGAGGGCAGCCTCCCCGGAGACCCCAGGGGGGACGTGGCTGACTGGCACCCTGAACTTGGGCTTCTGCCCTCCACAACTGCTGGCAAATGAGTGCCTGCTGTTTGAAGGCTCTGTGTGTGGTGCAGGAGCCCTGGCGGTGCCGTGGTTAGAGCATGCAGCCGTTAATCAAAAGGCTGGCAGTTTGAACCCACTAACCACCCCTGGTAGCATAGTGGCTACGACACTTGACTGCTAACCAGAAGGCTGGCGGTTCAAATCCACCAGCCACTCCTTGGAAGGAAGATGGGGCAATCTACTTCCGTAGTGATACTGCCTCAGAAACCCAAGGAGGGGTGCTATGAGTCGGGTGTGACTCGACGGCAAACAACAACAACCACCACCACCACTCCTCTGGAGAAAGATGTGGCAGTGTGCTTCTGTAAAATTAAAAAAACAAACAACCTAATCGAACCCACTGCCATCCAGTCATTTCTGACTTGTAGCGATCCCGCAGGGACCCCACGGACAGGGTGAACCAGAAACCCCCGGGGCCCTCCACCCCGCCCTATGTTTACTGTGCGTCGGAGGCAACTCAACGGCAGTGGGCTTGGGGTTTGGGGTTTGGGTGCGGTGCTTTGTTTCAGCAGCCCTGGAACCCTCCCACGCCCAGCCCAGGCCTGGCCCACAGGGGCCCGGAGGTGACCCACCGGTACAGGTTTTCGGCGCCGGTCCGAATGTGCAGCTCCTTGTCAATCAGCTGGTGGACGCGGGCCCTGCGGCTCTGCAGGCGGCTGGGCTGGGACTGCTCCAGGAGGTCACGGCTCTGAGGGACCAGCACAAAAAGTGGGCTCAATCCGAACCTTGATGCCAGGGGCTGGAACCCCATCTGGGAAGGGGTCCTTGTCATGCTAATGAGATGAGACTGCTGTGGGGTGAGAGGCAAGAGGTTGAGCAGAGCAGAGGGCACAAGGATACGGGCCACAAAGCCAGGGCCACGGCCACGGCCCGGCAGCAGCTCAGACCCGACCTTCCTCCAGAGCCCACAGCCGGCCTTCCCCAGGGCTGCGCCCTGGATTCAGACTTCTTTATGTTTGTTACAGCCCCCACTTGTAGCATTTCGGCTATGGCAGCCCTAGAGAGCCAGACGGGGTCAAGGTGGCCAGGCCGCCAGCAGGAGCCCAGCCCCACGGGCAGCCTTTCCTGAGGGCCGCCAGGAGACCCTGCTCTCCTTGCCGGCAGGTTCCCCACGACCATCTCAGGGAGGGCCCTGGTGCCCTTGTGGAGCTTTGGGGTCGGGACATTGGGGGTGGAGAGTGCTTGATGTTCTCAGCCCCTACCTTAGCCCCAGGGCCACCCCAGGGCCCTTCCCACCCCGGCCCCACCCTTCCCACCCTGGCCCCACCCTTCCCACCCTGGCCCCACCCTACAGCCCCCACCCTACAGCCCCCACCACAGGTCCTTTCCCACCCCGGCCCCACCCACAAGGGCTCAGGCTGGCCCGTGAAGCCTGGAGGCCCCAGCACTGGCCTCCCTGCCCTCTGCAGCCCTTCTCCACCCCACAACCCCCGCACCTTGGCCCCTGCGTCCCTCTCTGCCCCCACAAGCCCTCTCTCCTCCCCCTGCACCCTACCCTCATCACCCCTGCACCCTCTCCCCTCCCCACACGCTCTCCTCCCCTGCACCCTCATGGTGGGGGTCATAGGGGCTGGATGCATGCACAAGGGGGTGCTGAGCAGGTGGGGCCGGTGTCCGGCTCCAGCCCTACGTGCTCCAGCCCACCCAACGGGAGGGGGAATTGAGGGACCACGCACAGGCCCCCAGACTTGGCCTGTGGGCAGGACCTCCTCCAGGACATTCGTTCTCGGACCCACTACGCAAATTCACTCCAGGGCACTAAGGCCCAGCTCTTCCCTATGGGCGCCGTCTGCGTAGACACCCAGCCCCAGCCTTCCCTGTGGATGGACTCTGTCTTGGCAGACACCCAGGTTGGGCCCCCATCCTCCTGGACATCAGGGTGGGACCTCACTCTGGCTGACCGGGCTCCTCCACCCAGAGCCCCCACCTGAGCCCCTCTGCAGATGTGGGGGTGGGTGGAAGGGCAGGGCCTCTGTGGTTCTCAGGAGGTGCACTTCGATTGGGCCCTTCTGGGAACTGGGCAGCTCCCGTGTGTGGAGGAGGCAGTCTGGGTGTGGGGACAAGGGACGAGGAGACAAACGCGGCTCCCGCCCTGCACACCGCTGTCTTCCTAACAGCAGGGCCTGCTCCCCTTCTCCTCGGGGACCCCAGCCTCCCTGAGAACACAGGCGGCCAGGCCTCCAGGAGGCCTGAGGAGTCAGAGGGGGGTGCTGAATCGTCACAGCCCTGCTCCTTGCAAAGTCAGCCCAAGCGCCAGCAGCTGCTACGGATCCCGAGTGGGGGGGGCATGGTCCCTGGAGCAGGCGGAGGAGGGGGGCAGATCGGCCCTGGGGCGGTGGGTGCTCTGCCAGCTGCCTCAGCCACACAGACCCCTACTGGAGAGGGGTGTCGGCAGGGTGGGGCGGGGGAAGAAGCTCGCACTCAGGTCGGGTGTGGCTGAGCTCAGCCAGGCCGGACCCATTCCTCCAGCTCCTGCGGCGGCCCCACTGCAGTCAGGGAGCAGCCCCAGTGGACTTCAGGCATCCGGGGCCCTGGCACTCCAAGCCATCGGCTCTCCCACTCTCCGGGGCACACAGACGTGGTGTGGTTCGGGCCGGCTTGCTGGGGCCCTGCGCCTGCGTAGCTCGTTTCCGGCCCACTGTGGAAAGAGCAGGCGTGTGGCCTCTGGGCAGCCCCACGGCAGCTACACTGGGGCAGGGCCTTGGCAGCGGCCAGCGGAAAGGGACGCATGCCCTGCACCCGTCCTGAGGCAGAGGTCGGTATGCACCTGCGGCTGGAAGTGCCCAGGTCATGACTCCAGGGCAGGAGGAAACCTGCCTCGTGGCCTGCTGGGCCGACTAACAACTTCGTCCCTGTGGTCCCCCCGGGCCCAGTGTTCAGGGCTTGGAGGAGGCTCACCTCAGGCAGCTACTCAGCCCATTCTTTATAGGACGGCAGCAGGGTCCCCCTCCCAGACTGGCGCTTAGCCCGACCCCAGCACTGTTCCCCCAGCAGGGCTCAGCCCCATCACTCAACACAGGCATGCTGTGCCCCATGCCCCTGCCCCAACCTGTGGGAGCAGATGCAGGCCAGGGCTCCCGGAGTGGTGGCTGGTCCACGCAGCAGCCACAGAGCACCCAGCCCCAGCCCACAGCTGAAGGGGTGCCTGCGGCTCCCCGGAGCCCCGCCTGCAGCTGTCCAAACACTGCCGGGGGGAGGGGGCCAGGCCCAGCCTCTCCTGTCTCCCAGAGCACCAGCTCGTCCCTGTGCAGGATCAGGTCACCTCCCTGGCCCACGGCCTGCCTCTCTCCTCCTCCTGCACAACAGGCACACAAAAGCCGAACTCAGCTGGCAGGGATAACACGAAGCCTGACACCAGAGAGAAAGAAGGCAAAGCGCCATGGCGGGGGCACCTGGGTCTGCAGCCAGCTCCGTAAGAGGGCCCGGGGCGGGGACAGCGTGCCTGGCAGGGAGCGAGGGAGCAGCCCTGGTGACGCCAGGGGCCACCCTGCAACAGGTCCCCACGCCTGAGCGTCCCCAGTGCTCCCAGAGCCAGCCCTGGTCAGCTGCCCGGGGTCCTCCAGTGATGTCCCACACCCCACCAGGAGGCAGTGGCCTACTGTCACAGCTAAGTCATGTGGACCCAGGCAGCAGCTGCCCCACAGCAGGGGGCGGCGAACCTAGGAAGGGAGGAGTCAGGATGTATGAAACAAACACAGGCTTTTGGCTGTCACCCCCGGAGCCCAGCACCTGCAGAGAAGGGGGCTCCTAGGAGGCCAGGGACGCCCTGCAGGAGGGTGGGGGCTGGGTGGCTTCAGAGAGACTGATCATTCAGGCTCTCACTCCCCCAGTCCTAGTAGGCCACTGGACGAGCTGTGAGCCCAGACAGGGCAGCAAGCGACGAGGCTCTGGCCTGTCCACCGGCCTCCGCTTCCTCCACTTTCCCTGGCGGTGGAGCCTGCCTGCCTGCCTGCCTCTGGGACGAGGGAGGACTGGTGGGGTGGGGTTACCTCCCAAGGACCCCCAGACCAGAACGTGGCTGGGCTGGGTGGGGCTGGAAAGGCCAAGGCCAGTCCCTCCTCCCTGGCCCTGGAGAGCAAAAGAGAACCACGGGTCGTGGGCTCCCGCCGGCGCCCCTAAGGACCTGTGTTTACACCACCTGCATCTAAACGTCCCCCTGCCGCGCGCCTCTGCACCTGCGCTCCGCACCCCGAGATACCCCGGAGCCTTGAGAACCTCAAATGGATCCCGTCGCCAGACCGCACCCCTACAGACACCGCTGCTCCAGAGCCCACAACACCCCTCCATCCCGCGACCCCCACTGTTCCTCCGCGCCCCTGGCCTTGCACCACGACATCCCGAGAGTCCCTCGGCCCCCATCTCCCACCTCGAAACGCTACCGTCCCCGGACCCTGTCCTGCACGGCTGTCCCGCTCCCCTCGCCCAGCACCCTCGCTCCCCGTGTCTCGCGCCCCCCGCCCTGAGTCCCAACCTTGCCACTGCTGGCCGCCGCCTGCAGCCGGGCACTGTTCTCGCCGTCTCCCGGGCCGTCCGGCCTCTCCTCGAGGATCATCGCCCCCCGTGCAGCGCCCGATCGCGGGCTCCGACAGCCGCCGCCGACAGTGCCTCCGCCGCCCTCCACTGCCTGCGCGGAACTCACGGTTCTAGCCACACAGCAGCCCAGGGCCCGGGATGTGGCCAGGAACGCCAAGCGTGCGAACCTTGCCGTGCCCAATCGGCAGCTGCGGAGGTCCTGACGGACAGCAGTCGTAGCCAACCAATGCTCGCGGGAGGCGGGCTCCAGGCTCCCGAAGAGTTGGGTCACCCGGGCAACGGCGGGCCCGGAGCCCCGCGGGGGCGGGGCGCGCAGTACGCATGCGCCTAGGCCCCGGCTGGCGGACAGAGTTCAGGGAGCGGGTGGGAGTAACGGAGAAGTAGAGACCCGGGCACAGGGTCGCCCCTTCGGCCCCTCCTGGCAAAGCTCGCAGTCTCCGAAGTCTAGGGCGTCCACGTCACCCGGCAACGGAACCCTCCGAGCGGGTTGCTCCGACGTGTTCACAATGGGGTTTTCAAACGGCTTTGCTGGAGGCGGGCGCCGCGGAGTTGCTGACAAAGGCGGCTTTCTTCTGGCGCCGCGCGGCCCGGCCGGCTCCGGGGCAGCCTACAGACCCTGCCTGCGCCCCGGGCCTCCCCCGTTCTCCTCCCGGCTTCTTCCGGGGCCGCGCTCGGCGTCGGGGCCTCTGGCGGCCCCCCGTGGCGCGGCTCCCGGGGCACGACGTCCTTGCAGGGCCTGGAGCCAGAGCTTGTGCAGGGACCGCTCCCCTTGCTCCAGTCCCTCCGAGCTGCCGGCTCTGCTCCTCTGTCCTAGCCAGCCTGCCAGTGCCGGCTCCTTGGCGCTGGGCCCTGGGCTCCTGCACGCTGCCGGAGCCCGGCCTTGGCGGCGGCCCCCTCCAGCCGCCCCGCACCGCGTTGCTCGCATGCATGTGGGTCCTGTTAGCTGAGCCCCTTGGCTGTCGCCTGGCCGCTGCAGTGGGCCCTCCCGGCAGTGCCCCCTCCCCAGGCCCCCGGTCAGGACTGGCCTCCCCCAGTGGGCTGACCGTTGCTGCCCTGGCGTCCTCTCCCAGAGACCCCTCCCCTTGACCTTTTCATTCTACCCACCGACCGATGCCCACGGCTGGCCTCGTGGGATGCGCTGGGGCTCTGGAAGGTCGGGCTCCCATCTCAGCCGTGGGACCTGGGTGCTGGCCGACACTTGATAAGTTCACCGTGGAAAAACCCTGCGTCGTGGTGACGCCGTGTGCTTCCCAGTGGAACCCACAGCTTTCCTGGACTGTAACCTCTACAGGCGCAGTGTCAGGCATTTCTGCCGCAGCATGGCTGAGTGAGTTCAGACCTGCGTTCTCGGTGTGCTCTGCGAGCACCTCTCTGAGGCCTTCGGGTGCACAGAACACCTGTCCGCGGTGTCTCCCTCAGGCCCGCCCGAGCCTGTCCTGCAGACTTGAGCACGTCAGATACCGTGTGCAGGAGGCCTCGTGTTGCCACGGCAGCCGTGCCCAGTCCTCAACACTGACTCCACGGGGACCAGCACTGTGGCGAGGGCTCCTTGGCTCGGCCGGCAGTGGCCCCTGGGAGAGTGACTTGCCCTCATCTGGGGGCATAAGAGCCCTCGGGTGCTTGTTGCTACAGACCCTCGGCCCCACTTCCCCAGACTGGCTTCAGAGGGCTGCGTGGGGCCCGGGAACGTGCATTTTAATGTGCACCCACATTCGGATGGCCTGCTGGCCCAGCAGCTTCAAGCCTTCCCTGTGAGAATGCGAGGACTCTGGAGTTGTCCCCACAGGAGGGCGAGGGCTTGGTGAGGGGCTTCCCTGTCCCCGGGAAGACCATGTGTCGCGCCCTCAGCTCCAGACGACCCAGCAGGGCCAACTCGTGGGGCGGACAGTCCAGTCATGAAAAAATTGTTAAAAACAGCTGTTACTGGAAATGAAATTATACAAACTTCAAATGGAATGAAAGACTCGGCTGCCATTGCGTGCCACTGACTTGTTGCGACCCGTGTGTCAAAGTGGAGCTCTGCCCCAGGGGTGTTCAATGTGGGAGGTCACAGGCCTGCCTTCCAACACTGCTGGGTGGACTCCTCGGTTTGCAGCCAAGGACTTGAACCGCAGGACCCCCACGAGCGTGGAAACTCCTGCCATTCAATGCATCCTGTTAAAAACGGGCCCTGATGCTCAAGGCAGGAGCACTGGTGGTGTAGTGCCTAAGGCACCTGAGTGCTAGCCAGAAGACTGGCGGTTCAAACCCACCAGCCACTCCTCGGAAGATTGGGCAGTCTGCTTCCGTGGAGATACCGCCTCGGGAACCCAAGGAGGGGTCGCTATGAGTCGGATCCTACTCGACAGCAGTGCATTTTTGCATAATGCTCAAGGCTCGTGTTGTCCTGTTTTATCGCTCCATTTTCCTGGCCCCTTGCTCTGGGGTAACTCATGTCCTCGTGGAGGGTGGGCCCCCTGAGCCTGGGAACCTGTGCATCTCCTCCAGCCCCGTGACAGAGGCTGGAGCCAGACTGTTGCAGACCGTGGGGGACTGTGTGAGGACCATGTGGGGCAGACCAGGGAAGGGGGTGCCAGTTCCTTGGCCGGGGGGGGGGGGTGCTGCTGCACGGCTCTTGCCCACCGTGGGCCACTTCTATTTTTCTTTCTTCTTCTTCTTCTTGTTGTTAGGTGCCATCGAGTCGTTTCCGACACATAGCGACTCCATGCACAGCAGAATGAAACACTGCCCGATCCCACACCAGCTCCACGATCCCTGCTATACTTGAGCCCATCATCACAGCCACCATGTCAATCGATCTCGTTGAAGGCCTTCCCCTCTTTTGTGACCCTCCACCTTACCAAGCATGACATCTTCTCCAGGGAATGGTCCCTTCTTACAACATGACCAAAGTAGGTGAGACGAAGTCTGGCCATTCTCGCTTCCAAGGAGCATTTCAGCTGCATTTCCTCCAGAACAGATCTGTTAGTTCTTTTAGCAGTCCACGGTACTTTCAACATTCTTCACCAGCACCACAACTCAAAAGTATCAACTTTTCTTCGGTCGGATCCTTATTCATTGTCCAGCTCTCACATGCATACGAGGCGATTGGAAATATCATGGCTTGTGTCAGGCGCACCTTAGTCCTCAAGGAG